TTAACATTCTAGAAAGTGTCCAGAGACGAGTGACAAAATGGGTGATCGGCCTCCGCAACAAATCATATGAGGAACGACTAAAGAAATTAGGTCTTTTCACACTTAGTTACCGAAGGCACAGGGGAGACCTCATCACCGTCTACCAGATCCTAAATGACCAGGCCCACCCAAATAAAAGCATCCTGCCATTAAGTGATTGCAGGCTTCCACGAGGTAACCCTCTAAGGATAGCACACCAGAGACCAAAGACTCGAGTGCGATCACATTTCTTTTCGCTTCGAGTTTGCCGCCTCTGGAACGCTTTATCGGCAGCCGTGACTACAACGCCATCTGTGGAGATTTTTAAGCGGAAGCTGGACAATCATGCAGAAATGCAAGGTTGGTGTCTCAATGGCTTATCCTCATAAAACGTGAAGCCACACTGTCAATGGATCAACATACAAACTAAATCCCCACGACCTGTTCTGCCTTCTCTCACTGTACCGACTACTCTATCTTTTCCTTAGGTCACCTTTATTATTTCACTTATCCCAACTTATATTATCTACACTACAACCTATTATTATTATTACTATTCTGCTTTTATGACCACACCGAATGACCAACGGGAGTTAGGTCAAACTCCACTCACGGAAGCAACACAGTCCTAACATACTGCATACTACAAACCACATCTTGACCAATCCCCGCACCACTCAGATTCAGATTTCAGATTCAGATTTATTGGTTGAGGATAGAAGGCTTGCAGCCTATGTTAATCCTTTTCTAGTAGATTTCTGTGGTTGTCCAAACCCTTCTTGAACGAATCAGTTGAGGTTGCAGACACCACTTCTTCTGGGAGTCGGTTCCAAGAGTTTATGACTCGATGTGAGAACCAGTACTCAACAGCAATATGATTTCTCCTTGGCTTTTGAACTTTCCTGCTATGTCCTCTAAGGTGTTCCGACCTGGTGGGAAGGAAAAGAGAGAATAGGTCAGGTCCGTAGTCATTATTTAAAATTTTAAACATTGTGATTAAATCTCCTCTCTGCCTACGGTATGACAGTGAGAAGAGATTTAAACTATCTAGTCTTTCCTCGTATGATAAGTTAGCTATGCCGTGAACCATACGTGTTGCCTTCCTTTGAACACTTTCTAGAATGTGTGAATCCCCTTTTAGACACGGACTGGCGGCCTGGATGCAGTTTTCCAGTCTTGACCTAACCAGAGATGTGTATAAGGAGGTGAACATATCTCTGGTAATTCTTGTAAAGGCTCTGCGAATCGCCCATAAGGACCTGAAACTACGTGCAGCCACCGCGCGACAGTGTGCTGTAGTTTTTAAGTCGTGGCTAACTATGACACCTAAGTCCAAGTGAGTCTGAACTGATGGAAGTGTTATTCCCTCTAGTTCGTAGGAGCTCGTGCTTGCTTGTCCAATGCGCATGGTTGCACATTTTGCCACATTGATCGGGAGCATCCATTCAACAGACCACTCCGACAGTTTGTTGAGGTCGTCTTGCAAGGTGACGTATCACTGTTGCCCTTCAGCTCTCTCCAAATTTTTAAGTCATCTGCGTATAGGACCATAGGGGAGTCGGTGAGCAGAGGTAACTCATTGATATACAGAATAAAAAGGAGAGGACCGAGAACCGTGCCTTGTGGCACTCCGCTACTTACTGCTGTCCAGGAGGAGAGTTTTGAGTTGATCCTAACCCTCTGCCTCCTATCTATGAGGAATTCCCTGAGCCAGTCTAGTAGTCTGCCTTTGATACCAAGACTTTCCAATTTCATGAGTAGTCTTTTGTGAGGTACTTTATCAAAGGCTTTACTGAAGTCTATGAAGACGACGTCAACGGGTCTTCTGTTGTCCTTTGATTTGACCCAGCTTTCTCTTGCAGTCAGGAGATTTGACAGGCATGAGAGGTTCCTCCGGAAGCCATGCTGTGCTCCAGATAACAAGCTGCTATTTTCCAGATAAGCCATGATGCTTTTCTTGATAATTCTTTCCAGTGTCTTGATTAAAGTGCTGGTGAGACTGATAGGCCTGTAATTTGAAGGGCTTTGTCTTGATCCTCCTTTGTGTATGGGGGTTACTATGGCGTCTTTCCAATCACGTGGCAACACTCCATTTAGGAGAGATAGCTTGAAGATCGTGGTCAAGGGGCCGGCTATGTGGGCTGATAGCTCCTTGAGAAGCCTTGGATGAAGACTGTCAGGACCCATTGATTTTCCTGCATCTAGTTTCATTAAGAAGTTGAGCACGATGCCTTGGTCGATGTCAACGGAATCTATCCCATGTTCTTCTGATGCAGCCAGAGCTGATCCTATAGGCAGTGATGACTCCTGAGTGAAGACTTGGGAGAAGTAGTTTGCCATTGCTTCTGCTTTTTCTTGATCTTCTTCGATTGTATCTTTGTCAATAATCAGGTTTGGGACACCATTGGGTGTTTTATTCCTGAAATTCAAGTACGAGAAAATTTTCTTAGGTTGTGCCTTTGCATTTTGGGCCAGGTGTGTCTCGAACTTCATCCTTGATTGGCGGATTTCTGCGATAGCTTTATTTCTAGCAGTAGTATATAATTCCCTGGTCTCAGAAGTCTCAAGTGTTGCAAACAGGTTCCAACATTTGCGTTTACGTCTGAGTAACTTACGAATCTCCCGGTTTATCCAAGGGGGGAATGTTTCCGACCCTTTGGAACAGACCAAGGGATGAAGGGTACAGTTACTTGGGCGTAAAGTTGCTTAAATTGGTTCCATGCGGCTTCTACTTGGGACTCTGGATTGATGTACCAGTTTACTGAGTTGGCTGCTGAGACGATCGCATTTATGTCAGCTTTCCAAACGTTTGGTCGAGCTGGGGTTTTGGCCCTTGCTGCCGTTGCTGTGAACTTGAAAGTGAGCACAGCATGGTCACTTCTTCCTAACGGAGGAAGATGTTGTATGAGATCCACATCCTCACCGTGTGAGAACACTAGGTCCAGAGTTGATGAGGAGTGCTGTGAGTCATAGCGCGTGGGCTTAATGATATGTTGGACTAGGGCTAGCGATATACTAGATTCTAGCAGTTTATGGTCAAAGGAGTTGACTGAAGATGGAGTTGTTAGGCTCGACCAGTCAACTGTTGGGGCGTTGAAGTCACCGACTACGAGACTTCGACATTTTGAAGTCCAGGAGCCTAGCTTCTCTATTAGGAAGTCGTCTGCACTGCAGTCAGGACTGCGGTACACAGCAATGAGGTCAATGTCTTGGCCTATGCATTTAAGTCTGCAGCGTAGAAGTTCGCACGACTCACTTTCGTGGGCGAGTGCTTCGATACTACGCACGGTTAAGCCTTTCTTGAGGTAGATGACTACGCCCCCTCCTTTGCGGTTTAGTCGGTCTACCCTGTGCACTTCGAAGTTTGGCAGGTTAACTTCGTTGTCAGTGACATCGGGTGTGAGCCATGTCTCTGTGATAATAATTACATCCGGGTTTCCGGTTTCTATCATGTTTGCCAGCTCAGTCCTTTTATTTAACAGGCTGCGGGCGTTTGTGTAGCAGACTGTTAATTCAGATTGGTGCTTCCCCGGCCCACCCACAGAGGTTTCGGGATCATTAAACTGCGAACTCGGACAACCCGAAAACCCTTAATCTTAAGGTTCTTCTCACCGTTCCGGCGTCGCTCACTTAATTCTAGTGCCGCAGCCTGTCTTTTGACACGGTCTGCTAGGCTTAAGTCAGCGCGGACATATATCCCTGATCCTTTGAGAATATGAGAGTTGCTTAGAATAGCGTCCCTCTCCGCTTTAGAGTTTAGTACGACTTTGAGGAGACGTACAGGTTCACTTACTGTAGGGTCAGGCTTTTGACCTATTCTGTATACGCTGTGTATAGTAATGCCTGATACTGTTTGTGGCAGTAGCTTGTCTAAAAGGGGCTTGACCAAGTTAAGGTCATGCTCGAATCTGGTCTTAGGGTCGAGGGCCAGTGACTCCTCCACTTTGTGGAGAATGAGAGACCTATCAGAGAGATCGGGTTTGCTTTCCGTTACTTTCTTGCCCTGAGGCGTAAGTGTGTTTCTATCCTTCTTGGGCGGTGTGGCCGAAGTGTTATCCTTATCTCGCTTTTTGCGAGAGACTACGGTGCGCCATTCATTGGCGTCCTCCTCGCTAATCTTAGTGGGGTTCGTCTGTCTGCTGCTCACCGGTGTGGATGAGGCTTGTTCCGCCAGTCCCTGGGCGACTGGAGCTGCAGGTTTTCGACCCCTAGTACGCCTCTTCTTCACGGCAGTCTTTCCATTACTGTCACTGGAGGGCTCATCCAGTATCGTGGGGGCGACCTGGGTGTCTGTAATATGGTGGGTGTTCTTCTGTGCTGTAGAGCACTCACTTATTGGCAAGGTCGCATCTGGGACATGTGCTGTTTTGTCAATGACGCTAGTCACGTCATCGCTATCTGAGCAATAGTCGGTATTCTTCTGTGGTGGAGGACGCTTGCAGTCCATGAGCTTTAAAGCCCCACTAAGAGTAGCTATGGCTTCTGTAATACGGAGTTTAGTTGTACTACAGCAGTCGTTGCATAACCAGTTCGCTAGAGGTTTGCAGCAGCGTTTGTATGCTGCTGGAGTAAGGTTCGTGCACATACTGTGAAACCATCTCTTGCAGTTATCACACTGCATTCCCTCATCCACTGGAAACTGGCACATAGCCCTTCCGCAGCGGTTTCTTTTGATAGGCATTTTATTTAAAACAAACCAGGAAAAGTTAAATACAACTTCAAATATATATATAACCTTTGTAAATCAGTGATAAAAGCTAATGAGTGCACAAAGATAGATATATGTAGCTATTATGTTATAAGAACACAACTTCCTATAATTAATAGACTCAGATCTGAAACGTAAACTAACTTCGATCAGAATAAACTGATTTAAAGTTAAATCTGTGGACTTTTGAAGCGTATAACACAACAAAATCCAATTATAAACAAGAGCGTGAAAATTAACTCCCTTTTCAAAGTTCGCGCGCCAGTTGGAGTCTATCAGGGCTAAAGCAGTCGACTTACTACGCAGAAAATCACCGAAGATCTGGAACCTATACCTCACAATCAACAAGCGAGCTCAAAGAAAACACTGGTTTATACTAGCTCGTAATCAGGATATTGATTATTGGACAAGGTCGACGCACCTTTGAGCGGAAGGTCAGGTGCTGTACTGAGGCGAGTTCTAATTCATCATTGAGTCCCCTCATTCAATTTTAACATAACTGATCATATCCCTCCAAGCCGACTAAAATAAAGAACGCTGCTGTAGCCCGGTCTTAAATTCAGGAAAATGGAATTTCATTTATTCGTATATGAATAGTTCGAAACATATACGCATTAATTTGCATTTCGGGTACTACTGTGTAGTGCTGAAAGTTGCACTTGGGAGCCAATCTACTGCAGTCAGCAACTTCGAGCTGTTTTAATGAGGTAGTCTCGCTAGCAGTTATTATCTACCGACTGTTTTGATTCCTGTATAACGCTGTCATTAAAGGACTCATGTGATGGTGGTTCGGCTCATCGCATCGCCTGCACTCACAGTCAGTGACTGAGATTATCGCACTTTCGTAATGTTGAAAATCGTCTCACAAACACTGATGCCACCGATGGTTTTTTTGTTAAAAGTATATCTCAAGATGCTGCTCCGCTGCCTTGCTCTGGGGATGGTCCCTTAAGAAAACCACCTGCTTCGGTCTGGGCACCCGGGCAGTATCTCAGCCTTCACACAATGAATGAAATGTGTGGCGCATCTTTCTTGGTGCCATATTGTACCAAGTTTTTTCTGTGTTTAAATAAATAAAATAATAAATAATATCCGGTTCATTTCGCGAATTTACTTACTTTGTAGTTAACAACTGATTTTCTCACAACTGTTACATTGTAATTTCAGTGCGTATTTCACTATAGCTAGTTTTGCCAAATATTTTCAAGATATATATATAGGCAATAGTAATAATAATAATAAACATCATCGGCGTCTGCCACTGTATTCCAAACGATGATAATCTTAATATTTTGTAATCTGAGTGGGCGATCTCATTAGAACTGTATAAACAAGTAAAGGGATTCCAGTCACCACTAAATGAGTGATGTTTCCCAGGTTCCTTAAATGTGTGTTCACAACACTTCCCGGTGTCCAACTTCAGATTGTGAAAAGAAATTGAGAGTATATCAGCTGTTTTATCCGCCTGAGTGTCTACACTTATCCAGAGGCAGATAGAAATTCTAATTTCAGTATGAATACCGAAGATCATTTGAGATGATGGCATCTGCTACATTGTTTGTGGCTTCGTTTCATTTATTGTGTGAAGGCTGAGATGCTGCCCGGGTGCCCAGACCGAAGCAGGTGGTTTTCTTAAGGGACCATCCCCGGAGCCTTTGACTTGGAGTCTAATCCTCAAGGCAGCGGAGCAGCGTCAGGAGCTGCATTCCCATGGTTTCCGGTGACCCATATGGGTTCATACGCCATTTGATCCGATTGGATACTGGAGCCCATGTGCCCCATAGTAACTGCTTTTAGTCTAACCGCTATCCAGAAAACCTCCCTGACATGGTAGGACCTGTAGAGACAGAGTTCCAGTCAGTTCAGCTTGTTGGGTCACTGCGGTATTCAAGCCCGACCACCACGGCAAGCTAGCAGTTATCGGCCGGGATCTATGTTGTTGTATTACTATTATGTGGCGCATCTTTCTTGGTGCTATATTGTACCAAGTTAATCTGCTACATAATCAGTTATCTTTGCATTGGTGGGTCTAATACAAAAAATTAGTACATCCATTACAGTATATGACTATTGCCAGCCAAATATTTGAACACAGTTGTGAATAAATGGACAAACATAACGATTGTGAATATAATTAAATTCAACTCCTTAAATGAATTGATAACTGACTGTCTAGGATTTTCAGCTTACATTCACGATGAACATAAGATTGATTAAGTTCTCACCCTTTTTGTTACCATTTTTCTATAGCCATCATAGTTAAGGCATGTTACCGAACTTGCCTGGAAAGATAGTAAAGAACCTTGCAAATTATCCAGCTCTTATCAAACAATCAGCTCTTGAATTATTTGAACGAGTAAAATCATCTGATCGTCGTATCTATGAGGTTTACGATAATTTGACTGGTCTAGATCGTGTTAGATCTTTACATGTTGGAGTAGCTGAGGTGAGTCGTCGCATATTTCTGCTTAAATTTCATTTGACTTAGTCTGTCATTGGAGGAGAAACTCTGTCCATCAGTTTTGTTTTTACTAAATAGTCATTTCTACGGTGTTCCCAAACGCCGTGAGATTTAAAACAATTGAGTCCATTGGTCATTTGTTCAATAGAAGTGGTTTCAGTACATATTTTTACCATTGTCGACTGCCTGTTTATAAGTATATGATACATTAGCCTTGTATATTCTTCTGAAAACGAGTTATTTAACTAGGTGCTGAAACTAAACGTTGGCTTTCAGTGGTCAAAATGAAAGTAGAGAAGGCAAGACTTCATCATTTTTACTGACCAGTTAGTATTTGATCACTTTTGTGGTAGAAGCTGGACCCATAGTTCATATTATTTTTACACATATCAGCAGTCGATCTTGCATACTTGTAAAAATTATCAGTTTTTGAAGTTGATGTGTTGTCTAGTATGTGTAACTGTCCCACCACCTTTTAGTAATTACCAGTTATCTTTCTAAGATTTCCTTATAATGAGTGGTGTATTTCTTTTCTAAGTTTTGAAAGGCGGTGGTAATAGATGGTGTTTTAAACCTTCGTACTTAATAATAGTTATAGATAAACACTGAATTCGATGTTAATGTCTTAGAATGATAGCAAGGTCCATTCTATAAGGATTAACAGAAGTGTGGTGTATAGTTCACACCGCCAGAAGTGAAATCGTTTCCCACTTACGTGATTTGCAAATCAGACATTCAACCATAGTGTAGATTTAACGCAAATTTCTTGGATTTTTATTGATACATTTTATCCAATCAGGGCATAACTCCCTTATCTTTAATATGTAATTTATTGATCATGTAAAGAAAGTGCGAAATTAGCTGTACTTCCTTGTCTCACGGCCTCTTCCCCGGAGAAATAAATAAATCTTTGAGTTATCAATTAGTCTTTAATGGCTTCCCAGCGTAAGCATAGTAGACGAGAGTAACCAGTTGTATATTGTTGTGTGTGTGTGTGTTTGTTTGTATGTGCTTGCGTCTTGAAGTGACAGTATGCACGAATATAAATCTAGCATTATCTCGGTCACAACCACGTGGAGTTGTTTAACTTTAAAGTCTCAAGGCATTGAACCATGTCTGCATATGATTGTAAATGGCTTGAGACGTGTGTTGACTCTTTTCTGCTTTCACAAATACAGACCTGCTAATCTTATTATTTTATATCAAGTAGTTAGTGTTTTTTAAATTATGAAGTATGAAAGAAGACATCTTCCATTGTGAGATTTTTCATTTTGTCTATACTACTTACTCGATCTGTTGGTGACTGACTGACTGGTTTCAACGCAGGACTTTGCACAGATATGCACCAGTTCCACCTAGTTACCACTCTCCCTCCATGTACTACACAAAGCAAGAGAAGAGAGTAAAGGGAGATTCAAAATACACTTAATAAGTAGAATTGTAAGTGAGGCAGAGAGAATAGTAATATGAAAAAAAGAGAACTCTCTGGGGGTATTATAAATCACACAGAGTAAATGCATCTTCACTGTCACTGAGAATGATTTCGAGCCATATCTCAAATTGTCCAGCTTGCTAATATTCTGGTCGACAGGCACTTGGACTCGTGAAAACTGGGCTAAACCCATTCTATCTAACTCACACCACTTTCTTCATTCACAACTCTCCCTTTATATCTCGTCAGGCAAAACCAGAAGTCTACATAGAAAACTATACGCTCGCACTAGCAAGTACAAGCAACTCAACCATACCCTACTTAGCTCGTTTTCTGTGCGACAAAGAAGAAAGCATTAGTCGTGAAACTTATAACTTATTAAATAGTCAGTAGAACAACTGGATCTCGTCTTTCCAACTCATATCATTTATAGGTACAACGTTTTTTGTGCAGCTTTATTTCTTTCTTCTGCTTACGCCAGTAAATATGCTAGAACCTACTTTTCTAGCACCTTCAAACACTTTAATTTTGGCTGTGCTACTGACATGCCAATATGTTGTTGTCAAAACTAACTGAGATTACCCTTAATCTATCTCGAATTTTATTTTATTGTTAATTTACTAACTGGATGCAATACTGTAGTGAAATGCTGAGAATTCCATTCTGTATCACACAAGTACTGTTTTTGGAATAAAGCAAATTATTATTATTATTGTTTCCAGCCGTCGTCATTTGTTTTTACCGTCATCCAGAAGTTCTGAACCAACTAGTCAGGAAGTCTACACCTGCCGACGCGGGTGGCTGGCTCGGTTATACTAGCCCCTGTGGATTTGATTGACTGATATAGAGCTGTGTTGTCGTCTGACCATCACCACTAGCCAACTCTTTTACAACCTAGTCGATCTGTATTCTAGTGTAAATTGACAGCATATAATTAGGTTGTTCTACTTTTTGACAAACACTTTTATTATTCGCTTTAAAACTGTAGGCTGAAAAAAACTTTACACAGAAGCAAGTTAAACGGAAAGAATGTCAAAAGGAAGTTTTTCTGTTAGAAGAAGCACGAAATCGAATCAATGTACAAATGGACAGTGTCAGACGCAGTGATGAAAGTTTTTTGAAATTAGTCACAGAGTTACATGAGGTAGATTCATCTTTTGTTTTCTGCGCCCAAATTTCTACATTCCTTGGTTGCACCACAATGCACATGTGTTATTAAGTTTTGTTTTTGATAAGTGGTAGTTTGTTTCATTTGGTGCTATGGACATCGGAGGGGGTGGTAATGTTTGGTTTTGTGTAATGTGCGTTGCACCGCATTTGTGAGATATTAACCAAATATTTTTCTTATTTTTATTTTATTCCTCCATGCATTCCCAGTGGAACATAGGGGGCTTCAAGCTAGAGACTTGAAGTTTCGGTAGCAATGGTGTTTATTTCTAAGGGATAGGAGTTACTAGCCTTATGTCCGACCTTCCTTCTCTACCGGTTTTGTTACTGGGGCTTAGCGAGGTAAAGGAGTAAGTTCAGTGGCCGGGGTCGAACCCCGGACCAAATGTGGCGTGGTTGGCGAGCATTCTACTGCTAAACCACCGACGCACAGACATTCCTAGAAGTATGAAGCATTTTAAGGATGTTATTTTAAAGACTATATAAATCTATACTATTGTGAACAGTTTCGAGGCGCATCACAAAGAATCCCTAATAACAGATAGGGAATTGTCTGATTGGTTCTATATCTTAGCAGAACTAGTGATTTTGGTCATCTTTGAGAAGACGACGCCGAATATTAATAGCTAAAATGACTGAGATGTGATTCATAAAAATTACAGGGTTTTGATCGTGGGTGTATTCATCCGATCGTAGCATTAGATGAACGCAGCATGCATGGGGTAAGTCATGTTGAAATTCCGTATAGAATGTTAGATAAGGATGAGTTATTCAATCAATGCGATTGGGAGTCTTCATCGATTGTGGTGAACTATGGAACCAGTTAGTTAGGCTGTTTGAATGATTTTGACCTCGTTTCCAGTTGTTTAATTGAATTTTAGATTTTCCCGTCGACTGATTGAACTGAAGTGCTTGATCTCAGGTTGACATGATCACTCATTGGGGAATGCAGGCATATCCGGATGACGAGTCCCAAATAGGACGAAATGCGCATCCTGGATTCGACTCCTAGATATAACGCTGACGATTGATGTGTTCCTACCAATCCTGCTAGACCTTAGCGTTAATAACACTACCTTCTGACTCCTTCAGCCTGACCCACGTAACCTGACGGTCAGGCTGTTATTAACACCATCCGGACTAGCGAAGGGAGTATATCGCACTTACGACTGTTGAGGGATGTATTTGTTGACGATAATTTGAGGGCAGTGTACAAGTAGATAATCAAACTACAACGAAGCTGCTGAACTTTCATCTCCTGAAAATTATATTCACCACCATGTGTTTCAGTTCACATAAATAAGCAAGTTGATCTTTGACAGTGGAACTGCTACAATACTTGCGGTCTCTGATTCACCGAGGCAAAGAGTTGTCATAAAAGATTCCGAAAGATATACTCAAGTATATGTTTTTGAAATAGTAGTGAGCGATTTGTAGGTCATATAGACGTCTTCGGTATTGTTATGTTCAATTCGAAATGAAGTTAGTGCTTCGTGATTAAACAACCATTCAACTTTGAAAATACAACACAACACGACACTAAGAAGTTCTTATGTTCATTGTAAATTGAAAAAGAGATGTTCAGCGAAGAGACTCTTTTCGACGGCGAATTCATTCACACATATGTAATTATTTGTGTGTGTGTGTACATGAGGTTTGTCAAGTTTAGATAATTAATTGGGTAATACCAGAATGATCCAATATAGAAACAAGCTTAATTAGACAGCAACTAAAGTAAGATTGAGTTAGTAAGTTAGATGACGTGATATAATTGTACGTCGAAGGCATAGCGGTTAGGACGCTAGCCGACCATGCACATGGTCCGGGGTTCTATCCCCGGCTGACGCACTCCTTTACCTCGCTAAGCCAGAAATAATGCTGGTAAAGAGGAAAGGTTGGGCATGAGGCTAGCAACCCCATCCTGTAAAAATAATCACTGTTACAGAAACTTCAAGCCACTAGCTTGAGGCCCTGTGTTCCCCTGGGAGCGTGAAGGAAAAAAATATAGTTGACTAAAATGTTTCAACTTAGGTCAGGACAGCAACAGAGGTAATTAGAGATAGAGTTAGAGACTAAGTAGAGGTAGGATAGAGAATAATGCCATTTAAACTAGGACTATAATTGAACAATTGAATTGGATGACGTAAAATAAGTGGTTAGAAATTGAGCGTTGGTCAAGTCAGTAACAGTGGTAGTGAGGTGTAGAAATTAAATCGGGTGGGGTAGAAAACAAGAAAGTTGAAAATGCAAGATATTACAATTGAGGAGACAAAATAATACTAATGGAGAGACAGAAAAAAGATTAGGTAGAATTTACTTGTCGGGTAATAAGATAGATTACGTCCTTTGAAAGTGTAGTGATTGAACGAACTTCTTCTGTATGCAGAATTCAAGAATCGCCATCGCTTCTGCAGTTTGAAGAAGTCTGATTCGTACACCTTTAAGAAGACTACTTCTTACTCTGTTGACGACTTTGAAGTTTGTTTGGGTGCTACCCTGATCTAAGTTCAAACACTTTAGTCAATTATATTACGTCATCTAACTTATTGACTAACTCGATCTTGTTTTTAGTTGCTATCCAGTTAACCTTGTTCCTATATTAGATCATTCTTGTATTACCTGATCAATTATCTAAACTTGACAAACCTCATGTACACACACACACAAATAATTATATATAAATGTGATTGTACAGCTATGTGAATGAATTCGCCGTCGAAAAGAGTCTCTTCGCTGAACTTCTTCTCTTTTTCATATAACTCAATGGGGATTTTCAAGCTACTCAAACGTTATTGTAAATTGTTTGAATAACGTATGGAGCATTGTTCTCAATGACTTCTATATATTTATCCATTGTCTGTAAATGGCTGGTATGTGTACGAAAACTTTCAAATCTAAATATCAACAATATTCATAAATTTAGATTGTATCACCTTCATTTATATCTCTAGCTTTCACGTCAATATCAACTGGCTCGTGATCGATTAACATCAATTGAATCAGATGAACATATTGCCTTTGAACAATTCTCCAGTATCTTACGTCATTCTCAAGCTGAAGAAAGAATTCAAGCCAACAGGATGCGACAATGGACTGTTGGTTTTAGTTTAGCTGCTGGATTAATCGGTTTCGGGGCAACATGGATACGATTTCGTCAACTTGATAAGCAGACAAGCTCAAATCACTTGACAGCAGCTAGTAGTGAAGTAAGTAGTACCAAGTTATAGAATTCGGTGAACTATCCATGTATATTGAAAACATTTATTTCCCGATACGAATTTAAAACAAGTAGCAAAATGGGTTAGTAAAGCAGAATTTAATGAATTCATCAAATTTCGATAGAACTCTTCCTCAGCGCTGAATACTCTACATACACGGATATACATACACTAGTGAAATTACATTGGGAGATATAAGACTGATAAGTAAGTAAATAAACTACATTGAATTAATCATGCAGAAAGACAGGTGCTAATGTTCCGATCAGGTCATGTTCAAATAGATAAGGGGAGAGGAGAGAGTATGAGAGATCAAAATTAAGATAAAATGCATTACGCCTCGATTACATCACTTAGATAAACAATTAGACATTAGAGAATATAACAGGAATTGCAAACAGACTAATACAATAGTAATAGTTATAATGATAATAATAACAATAATAATAGTGATGAAGTGAGTTAAGATAATGCTACTGATAAAGGATAGTTTTAAATGAATCAATAATAATAATAATAATAATAATAATAAGTAGAACACATTATTATGGTAGATTCAGAGTCACGACCATCTCTTTGTGTACACAGAGACCTGGTTTATAAACCCGAATTGCACAAGCCTCTGTAATTGCAAGCATCTTCTTGTTTCTTTGTCTGCTGACAATAACAGTGAATGACTTGACCACGTCGATATCATGTCCGTAATCTACAAGATGTTTTGTTATTGAGGATTTTGGCACTTTGCACTCATCTGTTTTCAACCAATCTACCATGGTAATACGTTTTACTTATTATTCTACCTCTTATTGTTATTATTATTGACTCATTTAAAACTATCCTTTATCAGTAGCATTATCTTGACTCACTTCATCACTATTATTATTGTTATTATTATCATTATAACTATTACTATTGATATTAGTCTGTTTGCAATTCCTGTTATATTCTCTAATGTCTAATTGTTTATCTAAGTGATGTAATCGAGGCGTAATGCATTTTATCTTAATTTTGATCTCTCATACTCTCTCCCTCTCCCCTTATCTATTTGAACATGACCTGATCGGAACATTAGCACCTGTCTTTCTGCATGATTAATTCAATGTAGTTTATTTACTTACTTATCAGTCTTATATCTCCCAATGTAATTTCACTAGTGTATGTATATCCGTGTATGTAGAGTATTCAGCGCTGAGGAAGAGTTCTATCGAAATTTGATGAATTCATTAAATCCTGCTTTATTAACCTTCATTGTTTGCTTTTTAAATATCATGTATATGATGCAGAAGATTTATAGGTCAGGTGGATGGATGATTTTGATGTGTTTGTGTTCTCTGAGCTGGGTAGTTAATACTTGCTAAGCTTTCATCGCCCCAACACTAGGCAACATCCTCACTTCAGCGCATACTTCAATTTGAAGTTGAAGTGAGCTTTTAGATTTCTCCACGAGTTTATTAATCATCTCTCCTGGTGGGTCACCTTGGACGTGACTCTTTGGTTGCTTTTGTGTGTTTTCATACCCTCTAGGCTACTTGTATTGGAACGGTGATTGTTTCCTTGACTTGAACTTTGACCCGTTGTGTATGAGCTCTCGTTCTTACGTCGACGACACAAAAGAAATGAGTTAGATAAAACTCACAACTTGATAAGCAACGTCTTCAACGACATCCAATTCACAAGAGAAAAAAAATTCGAAAATAAAATCCCATTTTCGGACATCTTAGTCAAGCGAACAACCATAGGGGAATTAGAAACTCAAGTTTATAGAAAATCAACTCACACGGACCAAATACCCAATTACAACAGCAAAAATCCAATAACACACAGAAGGAATTGTATACAAACACTACCACCTTAAGGAAAATTGAAGAAAGATATCTCATGGACGTCTTCCAAAAGAATGGATATCCACGGAATTTCATCAAAAGACATATGCCCCCACTAAGCCAACCGACCAAATCAAAGGCCCACAAGGAAAGCACAAAGAAAATCGCCCTACCATATATAAAGGATATCTAAGAAATCACTGCAAGACTCTTCAAGCCTTTAGGAATTGGCGTCGCACACAAACCAACAAAATCACTTCACTCACTTGTCTCCGTGTCATCCAAAAGACTCAACAACGAAAGAAGATAAAACCAACATCATCTACAAAATAAATTGTGACGACTGTGAAAAGCAGTACATTGGCCAAAGTGGATATCCCCTTCGTCTTCGTATCCATGAACATAAGCTAGCCGTAAAAAAACATGACATCGTCTCCCTCATATCGCTTCACTGCATACAGACAACCACGGACATTAGTTTGACTGGGACAACGTTCAAATATTAGACAGAGTAAACACCAAGAATGCTAGAGGATGTTTAGAAGACTGCCTGATATTCCAGTCAATCGTCAATCAATAGACACATCGAGATAGACAAAATTTACTAATCGATAAGAAGGAGACCTCACACACAACGGGTCAAAGTTCAAGTCAAGGAAACAATCACCGTTCCAATACAAGTAGCCTAGAGGGTATGAAAACACACAAAAGCAACCAAAGAGTCACGTCCAAGGTGACCCACCAGGAGAGATGATTAATAAACTCGTGGAGAAATCTAAAAGCTCACTTCAACTTCAAATTGAAGTATGCGCTGAAGTGAGGATGTTGCCTAGTGTTGGGGCGATGAAAGCTTAGCAAGTATTAACTACCCAGCTTAGAGGACACGACCACTTCAAAAACTATCATGCATCATAAACACGTCTTATTTGCTATGATGAACACTTTCAAGATAATACGTAACGATTATGCTACATATCATCCACTACTCCTGTCGATGAGTTCTGAGGATTCTACATTGTAGCATGATGTATTATGAATAGTTTAAGAACCATTTAACCATTGGCGTGCATATGTAACACATTCGTTTTTATCTTCACGTACATTACCATGCGTTGTTAATTCATCATTGAATGCATCGGTCGCACAGTGGTAGAACGCTCGTCAACCACGCCACATATAGTTAGGGGTTCGATCCCCAGCCACGGGACGCACTTCTTTACCTCGCTAAGCCGGTTATAAGACCGGTAAATTCATTATTGAAACATTAGAGATTCTGATAATGAAATTTAGAACAACACACATATCAACGGACAATAATATATTCGAATAGGTCTTATCAGGCCTTACACTAATATACGTAACTTTACAAATAATTAGTGAATATCAACAAATCATGGTGATTTGTCAATAACATGATATGATTAAGCATGTGGATTGTGCAATTAGTCTAAGCTCTGCGCCATAAATTCTCAGAAGTTGGAATTCATGGTTCATTGGATCAGGTCCCAATGGCTTAATGGTCTGTCTGTCTGTCTGGTTTCAACATAGAATTTCGCACTGGTCTGCAGCAGTTCGAGTCGCCAGACTTCACTTAGCACACAAAGTCAGAGAGGAAAGTAAAAAGAAACACAAATTAGAGACAGTGAACAGAGGTATGGGGTAAAAAGAATACTAGTATCGAAGAACAATATAGTTTTATTGGAAATTATAAGTCACAGAGAGTGGATACATCTGCGCTGTTATTGAGAACGAGGATTTTGAGCCATATCACCAATTGTCTCCAGGGTTTAATAGTCTGCAAGCTCGCCTTGTAACTAGAAGACCACATAGCAATAAGCTATCGTTGGCGTGGGTCGGTAGGAGATTGTCGCTCCTTCTGGAACACGTGTGTAGATACCGATCACGCACTGGTCCGGGCTCGTGTGTGCTTACGACTGAACGGACGTAGGAAACAGCTGGCGGTAAAACCATCACGTCCCCAGCTCGATCAGGAAACTAAATCCCTATTTGAGGAAGAACTAGCTAAACACATATCTGAATTCGACAGCTGTGCTCACCCTGGAGAAGCCTGGAAGAATATTCAGTCAGCTATAGATACAGCTGTAAAAGCTGTGAATAAGGCAAATCCAAAGGTGAGTAAAAACCACTGGATTTCGACTGCCTCATCCGAACTGATAGATGCTAGAAGACTTATTCCGGCGAGCTCCGAATTCAATGAGGAGCGAAAGCTGCACAAAAGGAAACTTACTAAAAGTCTCCGCAAGGACCGTGAACAGTGGTGGGTGACAAAGGCAAAAGAGATGGAAAAAGCATCGGCGATAGGCAACACTAGGCAACTCTTTAGACTCATCAGAAACGGGTGGGAGAAGGCAAATCATAAGTGAGACTATTTCTGAGAAAAATGGCTCCTTAATTAGCTCTCAGGATAGACGCCTTGAACGCTGGAAAGAACACTTTGAGGACAATTTAACTTGCCTACAGCCACACTGAACCTCCCCGCCATCCACCACACACCCGAATGGGATATAGACACTGGTCCGCCGTCTGTAAGTGAGGTCACAAAAGCTATCAGTAATTTGAAACGAGGCAAAGCGGCAGGACCCGACGGAATTATTCCGGAGGTGTTTAAATATGGGGGTGACATACTAGTTTGTAGATTAACTGAGGTACTAGGCAAAGTCTGGGAATCAGAGACAGTGCCATCAGACTGGGGTAAGTCACTTATTATACCGATATTCAAGAAGGGAAACAAGTCCTCGTGTGATAATCATAGGGGGATCAGCCTAACGAACATAGTCTCTAAAATCCTAGGCTCAGTAATCATGCATAGACTAAGCAGAACTCGGGAGGAACAGACAAGGGAAAATCAAGCAGGCTTTAGACCAGGTAGAGGGTGCATAGATCATATCTTCACTCTTCGACAGATTCTAGAACATAGACACACTTTTCGGCGTCCAACAATTGTCATATTTCTTGACTTGAAGGCGGCCTTCGACTCCGTGGATCGAAAGGTACTATGGCAATGTCTGACTGTGAAGGGAGTGCCAAGAAAGTACATTGCACTAATCAAGGCACTCTATTCAAACTCACGTAGTCGTGTAAGGGCTTATGGGGAATTGTCATCTGAATTGGTAACAACCAGTGGTGTCCGACAGGGATGTCCACTTTCCCCATTTCTGTTTAACTTCATCATAGATATGCTGATGGAAGTATCCTTAACTGAACGTAATGACTTAGGAATCGACTTGTTACCAGGGAATAGTCTTATGGACTTAGAATATGCAGATGACATAGTCCTGTTAGGGGAGGATGCTGACAAAATGCAGAGTCTTCTGAACACCTTGAGCAGCAATCTTCGTATGTTTGGCATGCGATTCGCCCCTACAAAATGTAAGATGCTGCTACAGGACTGGACACGTCAACTCCTAACTTAGTGATAGGGAGTGAAGTGATAGAACATGTTGACCACTTCACCTATTTGGGAAGTTGTATTAGCACCAACGGACTGATTGGCGATGAAATCTCAGCACGGATCCGAAAAGCTCGAGCTGCTTTCGCTGACTTACACCATCTCTGGCGTAGGCGTGACATCCGGTTATCAACCAAGGGACGTGTGTACTGCTCATCAGTTCGCTCCGTCCTTCTCTATGGCTCTGAAACATGGCCAATACGCGTTGAAGACATGAAAAGGTTGACTGCTTTCGATCATAGATGTCTGCGATCTCTGTCTCACGTTAGGTGGTTTCACAAGGTAAGTAATGTTGACGTTAGGCGTAGAGTGTTGGGCAAAGAGGGAAAATCAATCGACGAGGCTATAAAGTTACATAGACTAAGATGGCTAGGTCACGTGGTGCGCATGCCTAACCACGCCCCCCCCCGACGGGCATTGTAGCTGATATAGGTGCAGGTTGGAAAAGAGCCAGTGGTGGCCAAACAAAAACATGGCATCAATCCATGAAATCCTTGACAGTTAAACTGAGTCAGGTAGGGAGATGCAGACTTCCGGGTTGGGGCCCTCGCCTTGGGACTCTAGGAATCTAGGACTACCAAATACAAAAAGTCCACAATACCATATCTGGCACAGCTGTTATGTGATGAGAAATCCGTTAGGTATGACACGATAAACTTACTGCGGCACTCTAACAAATAGTCCCATTAGTTTTTGTTTTCCTTTCCTCGTTACTACTACACTGTTGTTCTCATTTACTACCACACATCAACTTTATATTTCAAATCCTGTGTTGCATTGTTTGAAATGAAATACTCTATGTTGTTTTTTTTTCTTAATTTCTAATATTTATTTATTTTATTTATTTATAACTTATTTATTTTATTTTTATTTATTTATCTTTGATTTTTAAAAATCTTATATAATTTATGAGGTAATTAGATGCAATATACTGTAATGCACGCTGAAAATTCCATACCTGTACCACAAATACTGTTTGGAATAAAGCTATTATTATTATTATTATCAATGGGTGGAGACAATAGGTGACATGGCTCAAAATCGTTGTCAATGGCCAGCGCAGATGTATTCAGTCTCTGTAATCTTTCATATTCCTTTCTACCATTACCCATTCTGTTTCACTCTTATACTTATCAAACTCTATTGATTCTCTTCACTCATCTTCTTGTCTACCTCTGTGTGCTATTTGGAACGTGGCAACTCGAACTGGTGCACTTCGGTGGGAAGTTCTATGTTGAATCCAGACGGACAGACAGACAGGTCCTAGGTTCGAATCCCGGTGGGTGCGCACTGACGAAGAGTCCTGAATTAGGGCGAAACAGCTGTCCACTACTCCCAGCTGGTTTTTCAATGTTTCTCTAACCGGCGTCAGTTCACGATAAAGCCCTCTAACCAATATTAATTCCGTTAGTAGGGAACGTGAAAAAGTGGAGCGATTTCTGGTGTTAGGGATAACGAAAGGTGTCTTGATTGTACAATCACATATTTAGAGACAGGTGGTTTTGTTGCGAGAAGACCACATCTATCCGAGCGTGTTGGCCACTTCACTTATTTGGGAAGTTGGATTAACCCCAGCAGGTTGATCACTGAGGAAATCTCAGCAGGGATATAGAAGGCTAGTTTGGGATATGCCAACCTACTCTGTCTCTGGTGTAGACGTGATATCCGGTTGGCTGTCGACCAACAGACGTGTGTACTGCTCAGCAGTTCTTTCCCACCTCCTCCCTTATGGCTGTGAGACTAGGTGGTTAAAAGTGGAAGTTATGAAAGGGGTAGCTGTCTTTCACCGTAGGTGTCTGCGTTCTATTTCCTGTGTTAAGTGGTATAATAAGGTGGGCAATATTGCCGTTAGGCTTCGATCTACTGTTAAGTGAGTTAGAGGGAGAATGAATCGACTAGATTGTGAAGTTACGTTGATTGAGAGAAATGGTTAGGACATGTATTACGCACGCCTAGCCATCGATCACCTTCTTCGGCAACGGGCAATGTTAGCTGACTGACACTGGATCGATGAGGTTGGAAAAGAGTCGGCTAGTGGTGGTCAAACGATAACATGGCTTCATCAGTCAATGAAATAAATCCATAACAGTTATTTTAAGCCAGACATGTAGGGAGGTGTAGACTCCCTGGTTGGAGTCTTTCAGGCGCGACGGTGAAAACCAATGACGGTTGGAAACAAATGGTGATGAAAATCGTTCTCAATGACAGTGCATATGCATTTACTGGTGCATATCTGTGCGGAGTTCCATGTTGGAACCAGTCACTTAGTCGGTCAGGAACAAAAGGCTTCAGGTTTGAGTTTTTAGATTTCACTAGCAGTGGTGTTTACTTTTTAAGGGGTGGGGATGCTAGCCTCGCGCTCAGTTTTCCCTCTTTCCTGAACTTACTAACGGCTTGGCGAGTGTAAGGAGTCCGTCCACAGGGGTTCGCACCTCACACCATGTGTGTGTTTGGCAAGGATGGCTATAATTAGGTGCATTTTTATCGTTCTAACCTACTTACTATTCATTGGCTTTTGATATTTCGTTTTACTTTTTATTTCCTTTCTTTTTGTTTTCTCCGTCTCAGGTTGCCGAATTCTCCACACAAGATTTGATTACAGCTGTTCAGTTATCAGAAAAGGTAGATTTCAGTATGCTTTTATCCATAATTGTACTATCTATTTACATGTATACATAAGTAAACTGAAGCCTACAGATTAATCCTTAGCTATTCTATGCGTTATGTATGCTTCGATACATATAGCGTGATTTTGAGGGCGGTGTGGGGGGGGGGACGTGTTGAGTGATTTTGTCTTATTTTTTGAAGTGTTAGTTTTTCAGGGATTATTAGTTGACATTGGCTGATGTCGGTGGTTCTGTCTGTCTGTTTTCGACATAGAACTTTGTACAAATGTGCGGAAGTTCAAGTCGCCACACTCGGTGTAGCACGCGAAGCAAGAGAAGAAAGTACAAGAAAAGCATAATAGAGACAGTGAGCAGAGCTGTGAGACAAAGGAAGAGTAATAACGAAGAACAAAACAGTTTCATTGGAGATCATATGTCACAAGGAGTGGATGCATCTGCGCTGTCATTGAGAACGATTTTGAGCCATGTCACCAATTGTTTCCGACCATAGATTTTTACCGTCCCGAGGACCCCAGCCTGGAAGTCTACACCTTCCTACGTGGCTTATACCAACTGTTGTGGATTTCATTGACTGGTGAAGCCAAGATTTTGTTTGACCGCCGCTAGCTTTTTTCCAGCCTGACCCTATATCCGCTAACATAGCTCGTCGAGGGAGGCGATGGCTTGGCATACGTAACACATGTCCTAACCATCTCAGTCTTTGTAGCTTCACGACTTCGTCGATTGATTTCCCCTGTTTACCTAGAACTCGACGCCTAACCTCCATGTTGCTCACCTTATTATGCCACATTACACGGGAAATAGAACGCAGGCACCTATGATCAAAGACAGCTAACCAGGCTTTTCATGTCTTCCACTCTCAGTGGCCAGGTCTCACAACCAGCCGTTGAACGCTCGCCAATCACGCATGTGGTTTGGATATCGACCCTTAGCCGACGCACTCCTAAATCTCACTAAGACCGGGGTAACAAGTAAGGTTGAGCGTGAGGCTAGCAACCCTACCGCGTAAAAATAAACACCACTGCTACTGAAACTTCGAAGCTGCAGCCTAAAGCCTTATGTTCCGATTGGAACGTAAATGGAGTATAGAAGAGAATCGACCGGAGGAACCGTTGAAAACCACGGAATACTGGATTACTATCCCATCCTAGTTTTGCCATTTTTTTTCCATTTCTTGTGTTCTGAGTGGGGAATATTGGGCTTCAAGATGGGGGTGATATTGTGTTAATAATAGGGTGGAGTTGCTAGCCTGACACCTAGTGGTGTTCCTCTTCACCGACTTTATCACCTTATCAGGTAAGACAGGTTTAGGATTGTGTCAGTCGGAGAGTTGAATCCGGACCATATACACGTGATTTGTGAGCATTCTACTTCTGGACCACCGACGCGTGTTAGGTTCTGCCTTAATTATATGTGTCCAAACCAAGTTCACTCTCCACAGTTTGAAAAAATTGGGCATCGGGTATATGATATTCATTTTTAATAGAGGATTTTTTGTATTTCCCAATGAGTGTAAAAGAGCGAAACGATATTGTTGTGTTTTACTGACGTTTCGCTATTTAATGCTGCTGCTAACAGCTTTATCAGAGTAGTCATTATTATTATTATTTCCTTTAATTCTTAGAGGAACATAGGGCTTCAGCCGCGCGTCTCCATTGCGTTCGGTTTCCTGCAAACATTTTCGCCCCGCTCCAAGTCTGCCCACACGCTTTCATCTCCTCTTCACATAACCTCCAAGTCACACTCACACTGACTACCAACTCGCGCTTCCCGTTCGGGTTCCACTCGAGCAATGGCTTGTCTAGTGATGTCATTTGATGGTTTCCTCAGCGTATAGTCAATCCATCTCCATTTCTTCCTGCCTGTTTGTTCCACAATCGGTTCCTGCTGTGTTGGTTCGCTCATGGGCAGAGATCCCTGTTGCTGATCTTGTCTCGCCGGCCATCTGATCTTGAGTAGTATTGAGCGAAGACAGTTAGCTGTTAATGAAGGTCTGAAGTTTGTTTGAGATGCTCTTTATGACGCGCCAAGTCTCTGATCCGTATAGTAGCAATACTCTGCCATTATTGTAGTCATATTAAACCAGAATTTACAAAATCTCAGCTCATTCTTATATAACAACTTAATCATCGTTCATCGACATGGGGTAATTTTTACGTTGTTGTCAACATGGCAAATTGGTAAAGACAACAAAACCATGTGTAGATTGTTGAATGTGTTTACGTAATGAAATTGCTTATCACAATCGTGTTGATTCTGTCATTTCATGGGGGAGGTGAGTGGGGGGTGTTGTAACCAGGTCAAATTCTCTTTTAGTCCATCATTCATATATTCAGTTCAGACAATTTGGATTCCATTTGATAATATGAAGTGCTTTCGATGATGTGAGACGTTCTTTGTGATTTCTGAAATGCACTAGTCAGTAACTGGTGTAGCGTGTCTAGCAGGGCCATGAGTCCTTTCAAGATTGCAGATACGCCTTGCTAAACAGTGCCAACGCGCTCGAAACCTAGGTGATCCAAGGCTACCTGTTGCCGATTGCCTCTAATACCGGCCAGCCACCTAACAGGACCAAACAAAGAACTGGACACATTACATTAGTTACTGAATAGTGTCCAATCAAACATATACGCAAGTGTATTACTGTGCTCGTGCCAATGTAAACAGTTTCATTCTTCCTTTCACTAATTCTTTTAATATTTCAGAAATACCGAGCCGTCTTAAATGAATTGGTCGTACTCATAAATAATTTAAATGATGTAGGTGTTCTACTAAATTTTCTTCTGCATACTTTATTATTGTGCATTTTTTGATAATTTTTGAGTTGTGTTCAACTAAGGCCTCCTACCTAACTTGTTGTTAGTCCATCAATCACCATGATGTTATTTAGTGGTGAGTGGTGATTAGTAGTGTGTTCAAGAATTGGTTTTCAGAGATTCAATTTTATTGGTTTCAGGATTTCATCAGGAACTGACATCGGTTAGAGAAACATCGGAAAACTTGCAGGGAGTACTGGAAGGCTAGCTAGCTTTTCCGTTAGCCTAGTTGGGGACTTTTCATCAGTACGCGCCCACCGTCATGGTTCGAACCCATGACCTTCTGGTTACAAGGCGAGCTAGCTCGTAGACTATCAAGGCACTGGGACCCATCAATACAATGACCATCCCGTGAATTCCAACTTCTGCTATTTCATGATATGTCGCGACTGGCACTAGCCAATGTCATCGCTGGCGAGTGTTTGCCCTCACGTCCGATTGCCTGATGTACCCCACGGGTTAGGTGACTTCGCACTAGAATCCAGGTAACTACCCACATGAATAGTTTCATTCACTAACGAGCATCAAATTTTTCATACATTTATTCCCCTTAATGAATTTGAACAAAGCAAGAACTACAGTTCTAGCAGAATAAAGTGCTACCATCACTGTTTATTTCGTTGCCTTCTCGTCAGCTGTTTACAAGGCAAAGACATTATTAAATATATCTACAACAACAATTTTAACATACTTGCACAGAGTTCATTTTAAACAAAAATCAAACGATCACTATACACATACACTAATAATATACATGTATAAATATGCAATATTAAACACTATTCCGAACAACAATAATAATCATACACAATGGAAATTTTTCAGCATTTCGCATTCAGGTGAAAGAGAGATGAAAAATATCCAGTTACCAGATAGGGCAAAGAAAGACTGATAACCGCTTCTTTCTGAACACACAAATCAGGTTTCAGACGCTTGATGGAAATGGCTTCAGCAAACTTAAGGAGAATTGAGCTCTTTTGCCTATTGATAAATATGAACTACTTTTCGACGTCCACCTCATGACCCGTGTAGAGGAGATGCCTGGCGATGTCTTCTAACCCTACCCTTACTCTAACGTGAAAAGATCCCTAAGCTAACTGTAAGTCTTACAGAGGATACCTCCCTCCCATATGTGATAAAAATAGCTCTCAGTTTTTGGGTTGAAATTTCAACAGAGTATGATTCCATTGTGGGTAAACTTTATTCTGATAAAGTTTCATAGTGTTATACTGAGCATTAAGCTGTGCTTGAAATGTTATCAAGTAAGTGGAATTATACCCTACCACAGTGCTCAAGTTCTATTCTTATATCAACAGAGTAATTTAACCATGCTCTTTGCATGTAATTATTTAGGTCTTCTAATCCTACCCTAACTCTAACGTGAAAAGATCCCTAAACTAACTGTAAATCTAACTGAAACCAACCCTAATGTCGCCTTTATTACGTTTAACCTAACCCTAACTTGTCCTTGGCTTGAAGCGAAAACTTAATCTTTCCCAAACCTAAGCTGAAACTTACCAGATATCCTATTTAATAGCATAACATAACACTTCGATGAGCATATTTTATAAATATGATGACAACATTATTTGCCAGGTTTCACTAACTTACTCAGTGAGCAGATTCAAGATCATCGGTGCGGTCGCACTCCATTGGTAGTTAGTTAGTGGTGCTTCAAGTTTAACTTGGCGGTGAAATTAAGAGGTTGAAGGTCATCAAAACAGTTGACTAAAAGATGTTAGTAACAAGATATCTAAGTTTCGAAGGAAGGAGAGGGGTGGTAACTAGTTAATTACAGAATTCAAGATCAGTTAGTTATCAGGCGTTAGCAACAAGTTATTACATAATCAAGAAATTCGCAAAATATCAATGATGACCAAGAAGAATAGGATAGCTCAGAAGAGTTACGTAAAATATAAACGAGTTATTTGGATTAGCTAGAATTGTAAAAATCAACAAAGTTAAAAGATAGTTACAAGGGGGGGGTAAAACATTGTTCTTAAAAACTTAATAAATATTATATATTTTCACGAGTTGATCGCGGATTGATATCAGTTAGAGAAACATTGAAAACCAGCATTGGAGTACTGCCGGACATCTGTTTCTTCTGTAATCACTTCGCAAAACATAACTAACCCTTACAAACTAAACTATAGAAAATTAATCTGATGCTCGCTAGTGACTTGCCACAGGATGCAGTTTCCTGGTGTTCTAATGAGAAGTCGTGACCAGTGAGATCCAGTTAGATGTCACGTGTGTGGATGGATGTCCCACCAACGACAATGGTTGGGGTCGGGGTAAATCACGAATTTGTAGAAGTTAGAATTCATGAACCATTGAATCGGGTGCCAGTGGCTGAATGGTATATGAGCTCGCTCGCCTTTTAACCAGAAGGTCCTGAGTTCGAATCCTGGCGGTGGGTGCGTACTGCTGAAGAGTCCCAAACTAGGATGAAACAGCAGCTGTCCAGTACTCCCTGATTTTCAGTGATTCTCTAACTGTTATCAATCCGTGGTCAACTCGTAAAAACATAACTAACCCTTACAAACGAAACTATAGAAAATATTATATAATTGGCCATGGCAAAGAGAGCGGCTGTACAAATTTCTTTTGAATTGATGTACACAGATTTGGTTTGTGTTCAGATGAAATCCAATCGCCTCCTCTGTTGGATTTGTAAAACTCGTAATCTCAGATCATGCAGCAAGAGGTCGGGTGACTTTAGATAAATTATTTCAAAAGTTTTGTTAGCTTTGTCGACTTGGTGTCCAGTCAGTGTCGACGAGACGACCTAGTATTGAGCTGTGTATAGCGGCTTTATTCGGACCTTTGCCAAACCAAGATGAGAAGTGTTAAGAAATTCGACAATAAACTTGCCTGATCATACACCCGATATAACTAGTTCTATTTTTCTTACGAGCTTGCCGTGTAACGCAACACATCTCCTAACCGTTTCAATCAATTCACCTTCACAAGCTTACCGATTGATTGGCTTTCCTTCCTTACCTAAAGTCGATATCACGCACCAAATTATTCAATTTAATGTGTGAGATATATTGCATACATATGTGGAAACTGACAGCTTTTTTCAAGAGATCATTCACCCTCAATGGCCATATCCTATAGTCATTCCGCCATTGGGACCCCTCTTAATAGCTAGGCCATTCATTCTATTCTTAGATGTCTTCCTTAATCGAGAGAACTAACACAGATAATTTAGAAACACAAGTATACAGAAAATCAATGCACACAGACCAAATAGTCAACTAAAATAGTAATAACCCAACCCAATTACCCACAAAAGAAACAGTGTACAGACATTGTTTAAAAGAATTCAAACACAACACTGTAGCACTACTTCAGTGTTGAAAAGAATGAAGGAAAAGTGCCTACTAACCGTCTTCAAAAAGAGTGGATATGCTTCCCACAATTTCATCTAAAAGTGTATAAAATCGAGTCATAACACCAACAACAAACTAACATCAAAGACCACAGGAAAGTTCATTCTACCATATGTGTAAAATATCTCGCTGAAATAACAGCTGGAATATTGAGACTTTTTGAAATAGATATAGCACACAAACCAGTCCAATCAATTCATTCGATATTCTGCAAACCGAAAGACATCTAACAGAAAAAGAAGATTGTATTAATACCATTTAAAAAAGAAATTGCATGCATGAACTGCTCTGTCTGTCTATCTGTCTGTTTTCGACATAGGACTTTGCACAAATGTGCGGAAGTTCAAGTCGCCACACTCCCTACATGTAGCACATAAAGCAAGAGAAGAAAGTACAAGAAAAGCATAATAGAGACAGTGAGCAGAGCTGTGAGACAAAGGAAGAGTAATAACGAAGAACAAAACAGTTTCATTGGAAATCATAAGTCACAAGGAGTGGATGCATCTGCGCCAGCCATCACCGAGAACGATTTTGAGCCATATCACCGACAGTTTCCAGCCATTGGTTTTTACCGTCCCGAGGACCCCGACCAGGAAGTCCACACCCTCCTACGTGGCTTAAACTAACTGGTGTGGATTTCATTGACTGATGAGGTCATTTTTTTTGTTTGACCACCACTGGCCCTTTTCCAGCCTAACCATATGTTAGCTAACATTGCCCATTGTAGAGGAAGAAGATGACTAGGTATACGTAACACATATCCTAACCATCTCAGTCGATGTAGCTTCACAGCCTCGTCGATCGTAGTCCTCTCCCACCTACCTAGCACTCGACCGAAGCGTTACCTAAATATTACTCACCCTATTATGCCACTTCACACAGGAGATACAGCACAGGCACCTATAATTAAAAGACAGCTAATCTTTTCATGTCTTCCACTCTCAATGGCCAGGTCTCAAAGCCAGCAATAAAGGAGGACGGAGCGGTCTTCTGAGCAGTACACACGCCCTTCAGTCGATAGCCAGCCAGTCGGATATCACGTCTACACCAGAGACGGCATAAACTAGCGAATGCGAAACTATCCCTCTGTATCCTTGCTGAGATTTTGTCAGAGATCAACCCGTCGGCTCTGGCTGATAGTACTTCCCAAATAAGTGAAGCGGTCAACGTGCTCTACCACTTCACCCCTATTTCTAAACTAGGAGTCAGTGTAGTCCAGTCCTGTACCATCATCTTACATTTCACCGCGGGAGCGAATGGCATGCCGAACATTCGTAGATTGCGGCTCAAGGTGTTTAGAAGACTCTGCATTTTGTCAGCGTCTTCGCCTAGAAGGACTATATCGTCTGCATATTCCAAGTCAACGAGATTATTCTCCGGTAGCAAGTCAATTCCTGAATCGCTGAAGTCACTTAGGGTTAAGTCCATTAACACATCTATGATGAAGTTGAATAGAAACGGGGATAATGGGCATCCTTGACGGACACCACTAGTCGTCACCACTTCAGATGACAACTCACCGTAAACCCTCACCTGGCTGCTTGAGTTCGAGTAGAGTGTCTTAATCAGTGCATTCCCTTTACAGCCAAGCATCGCCAGAGAACCTCTTGGTCGACAGAGTCGGATGCCGCCTTTAGGTCAAGGAATATGACAATTGTTGGACGCCAGTAAGAATGACTATGTTCTAGAATCTGTCGGAGGGTGAAGATATGATCAATACACTCTCTTCCTGGTCTAAAGCCTGCCTGGTTCTCTCGTGTTTGTGCCTCCAGAGCACCAATTAGTCTACGCAATAATATTGAGCCTAGGAATTTAGATACTATATTAGTCAGTCTAATCTCTGTGTGATTATCACAGGAAGACTTATCTCCCTTCTTGTATATGGGGATAATCAGTGACTTACACCAACCGGATGGGACTTCCTCTGATTCCCAGACACTATTTCAATTTGTGGAAAGTTAACAAATGCATTCTACTAATTAACACTGACCAGTCATATTTCATTTTGTTTTTCTAAAGTACTTACTCTTGACTTATATATTATTCCTATTCACCGTTTATCTTTCTTTCTTTCCTTTTCAGTCTGTGAAGTCAATTAACGAAGCAGCATTAAAAGTATGTCATATTGTTAGGCTTTCGTTTAAATTTTCTAAATATACATGAGATATATTCATTTATTATTAGTAGTAATATTTGTCGAGACTCTGATTATCTTCGTCAAATGATCTTAAGCTGAATCCCCCTTCAAATGTCAGGTGGTTAATTTCACCTTGAACAGCAGTCTTCGAATGTTTGTCATGCGAATCGCGCTCCTGTCAAATGTGTAGATAAAGCAGAATGATGCTCAAGTGGGCTTCGTGTGCTTTTGGAAGTGTGTGTTGGTGTTTGTTACTTCCTGGCTGCTCACATCGTGAAAGTTGAGTGAATCTTCGGGTGCGTAAAACAGAAAGAGAGTTGGTGTTGCGTGACCGCAGAGGCCAGGGGACAACTGCTTGAGGCCAGCCGGTCACACACGGCCTGTGTGAATTGGTTTCTTGGATTGGTTCCGCCGGTTATGGGCCATCGTAGGTGGGGTAAGTAGGAATGTACAGCTTTTGGAGTTGACCTTTTCTAACCCCCTCCCTTCAGATTGGGGAAACAAAATAGCTGGCTGCCACACTGGTCGTCTGAGATAAACACCTTACTGCTGTTACATCCATGTTTCCTGGCAGTACGACTGTGCCCACAGACCTTCAGAATAGTGTAAAAAAATTCTCACACTATGCCGGTAACTGCTTATAGTCTAATTGCTATCCTAACAACCTTCCTGGCATGGTAGGGTCATTGAAATATGGAAGACCGACCACCACTTCAAGGTACCAGCTATCGGTCAGTCGGTTGCATCAGCTACAAGGGGTTGATCACTGGCGAAATCTCAGCATGGATACATAAGGCTGGTTTCGCGTATGCCGGTTTACGCCGTCTGTGGCATTGACTTGATATCCGGCTATCGACCAAAGGGCGGGTGTACAGCTCATCGGTTTACTCCGTCCTCCTCCTTTATGGCTGTGAGACTAGGTGGTTAAAAGTGGAAGTCATGAAAGGGGTAGCTGTCTTTCACCGTAGGTGTCTGCGTTCTATTTCCTGTGTTAAGTGGTATAATAAGGTGGGCAATATTGCCGTTAGGCTTCGATCTACTGTTAAGTGAGTTAGAGGGAGAATGAATCGACTAGATTGTGAAGTTACGTTGATTGAGAGAAATGGTTAGGACATGTATTACGCACGCCTAGCCATCGATCACCTTCTTCGGCAACGGGCAATGTTAGCTGACTGACACTGGATCGATGAGGTTGGAAAAGAGTCGGCTAGTGGTGGTCAAACGATAACATGGCTTCATCAGTCAATGAAATAAATCCATAACAGTTATTTTAAGCCAGACATGTAGGGAGGTGTAGACTTCCTGGTTGGAGTCTTTCAGGCGCGACGGTGAAAACCAATGACGATTGGGAAGAAATGGTGATGAAAATCGTTCTCAATGACAGTGCATATGCATTTACTGGTGCATATCTGTGCAGAGTTCCATGTTGGAACCAGTCACTTAGTCGGTCAGGAACAAAAGGCTTCAGGTTTGAGTTTTTAGATTTCACTAGCAGTGGTGTTTACTTTTTAAGGGGTGGGAATGCTAGCCTCGCGCTCAGTTTTCCCTCTTTCCTGAACTTACTAACGGCTTGGCGAGTGTAAGGAGTCCGTCCACAGGGGTTCGCACCCCACACCATGTTTGTGTTTGGCAAGGATGTCTATAATTAGGTGCATTTTTATCGTTCTAACCTACTTACTATTCATTGGCTTTTGATATTTCGTTTTACTTTTTATTTCCTTTCTTTTTGTTTTCTCCGTCTCAGGTTGCCGAATTCTCCACGCAAGATTTGATTACAGCTGTTCAGTTATCAGAAAAAGTAAATTTCAGTATGCTTTTATCCATAATTGTATTATCTATTTGCATGTGTATATAAGTAAACTGAAGCCTACAGATTAATCCTTAGCTATTCTATGCGTTATGTATGCTTCGATACATTTAGCGTGATTTTGAGGGCGGTGTGGGGAGGGACGTGTTGAGTGATTTTGTCTTATTTTTTGAAGTGTTAGTTTTTCAGGGATTATTAGTTGACATTGGCTGATGTCGGTGGTTCTGTCTGTCTGTTTTCGACATAGAACTTTGTACAAATGTGCGGAAGTTCCCTTACATTGGAAAGACAGAAAGAAGGGCATATCTACGATTTTCTGAACATGTTCCAAAGAGCTTACGTCTAAAGAGAACAAATGCTTTAAACAGTGACATCGCCAGGCATCTCCTCTACACGGGTCATGAGGTGGACGTCGAAAAGTAGTTCATATTTATCAATAGGCAAAAGAGCTCAATTCTCCTTAAGTTTGCTGAAGCCATTTCCATCAAGCGTCTGAAACCTGATTTGTGTGTTCAGAAAGAAGCGGTTATCAGTCTTTCTTTTCCCTGGTAACTGGATATTTTTCATCTCTCTTTCACCTGAATGCGAAATGCTGAAAAATTTCCATTGTGTATGATTATTATTGTTGTTCGGAATAGTGTTTAATATTGCATATTTATACATGTATATTATTAGTGTATGTGTATAGTGATCGTTTGATTTTTGTTTAAAATGAACTCTGTGCAAGTATGTTAAAATTGTTGTTGTAGATATATTTAATAATGTCTTTGCCTTGTAAACAGCTGACGAGAAGGCAACGAAATAAACAGTGATGGTAGCACTTTATTCTGCTAGAACTGTAGTTCTTGCTTTGTTTAAAGGGCGTCTCAGATTGATATTCAAGTGTTAGTTTTCTGCAGGGATTTGATTGGTTTCAGCATTAGCAATGAGATGGCAGAGGTGGGTTCGAGTCTCAGTGGGAATACCGTCACTCACTGGAGATTTTAAGTACGCCCAGTTGAAAAGCCACCAAATGGGACGGAACAGAACGCACATTCTAGATTACACACTGGTGGACACCACCCACCACCAAAATAACATCATCTTGATCCTCAAACATCGTTTAAGCGTCCGTACTAGTAGGCAACGTGTGTACAGAGACAAGTATAATCAATCAATGGGGGGGGGGAGAGTTTAACTTCCAACAGGTTTCACCATCCGAATATCCGATTCGCTATCGACTATAAAATAGAGAATTAACTACGTGGTTGTGGAAAAAAGCAACAGATTGAGCGAAGACTTGTGCCTTCCTTTTCAATTAGTTCCTCATCATTCATCGGCCGGCACTACATTCCAATATATTGTCTTTTACATCAAAATTTTTTTTACCAGTCAAGTGGTTGTTTCAGTTCGTCAGTTTTAGTTATACGGGCAAAGTTAAACTCTAAGCTCCACTAATTATCGTCAATCAGCGAATGACCTTGAACGTACCAACCACGTGAAGAAGGCATTTTTGTGTATGGAATACACATATATTTATGACAAAAAAAATGCATAAAGACTGTAAAGAAGTCTTACAGAGGATACCTCCCTCTCATATGTGATAAAAATAGCTCTCAGTTTTTGGGTTGAAATTTCAACAGAGTATGATTCCATTGTAGGTAAACTTTATTCTGATAAAGTTTCATAATGTGTAATACTGAGCATTAAGCTGTGCTCGAAATGTTATCAGTAAGTGGAATTATACCCTACCACAGTGCTCAAGTTCTATTCTTATATCAACAGAGTAATTTAACCGTGCTCTGTGCATGTAATTATTTAGGTCTTCTAACCCTACCCCAACAATAACCCTAATCTTTCGTGAACCTAACTCTAACGTGCAAATATCTCTAAACTGATTGTAATGTAACTCGAACCAACCGTAATGTCGCCTTAATTAGGCTAACCTAACCTTAACTTGTCTTTGACTTAAGGCGTAACTTAATCCTTCCCAAACCTAACCTGAAACTTCCCAGATATTCCATTCAATAGATAACATAGCACTCCTATGAGCATATTTTATTGATGGTGACAATATTACTTGCCAGGTTTCACTAACTTACTTATTGAGCGATTCAAGGTCATTGGTGCGGTCGCACTCCATTGGTAGTTAGTTAGTGGTGCTTCAAGTTTAACTTGGCCATTATACCTAGGGGGTAGGGGCGCAGTGAAATTAAGCGGTTGAAGGTCATCAAAACAGTTGACTAATAGATGTTAGTAACAAAATATCTAAGTTTCGAAGGAAGGAGGGGGTGAAAACTAGTTAATTACGGAATTCTAGGTCAGTTAGTTATCAGGCGTTAGCAACCAGTTATTACATAATCGAGAAATATGTAAAATAGGAACGATGACTAAGAAGAATAGGATTTTTCAGAAGAATTACGTAACATACAAACAAGTTGATTAAAATTAGCTAGAATTGTAAACATCAACAAAGTCAAAAGATAGTTACAAGGGGAGGGGAAAATCGTTTTTAAAAAACTTAATACATATTATGTAGTTGGCCATGGCAAAGAAAGAGGCTGTACAAATTTCTTTTGAACTGATGCACACAGATTTGGCTTGTGTTCAGATGAAATCCAATTGCCTCCTCTGTTGTATTTGTAAAAGTCGTACTCGCAGACCATGCAGTGAGAGGTCGAGTGACATTCGATAAATAATTTCAAAAGCTTTGTTAACTTTGTCGGCTTGATGTCCAGTCAGTGTCGACGAGACGACCTAGTATTGAGCTGCGCATAGATTTATTCGGACCTTAGCCAAACCAAGATGGGAAGTGTTTAGAAATTCGACAATGAACTTGCCTGATCATACTCCCAATATAACTAGTTGTATTGTTCTTATGAGCTTACATTTGTAACGCGACACATCTCCTAACCGTTTCAATCAATCCATCTTTACAAGCTTACCGATTGATTGGCTTTACTTCCCTACCTAACCTCAATATCGTGCACCAAATTATACAACTTAATGTGGGAGATATATTGCATACATATGTGGCAGCTGACAGCTTTCTTCAAGAGATCTTTCACCCTTTAATGGCCATATTCTACAGTCATTCGGCCACTGGGGGAGCCCTCTCAATGGCTAGCCCATTCCATTCTTAGTTGTCTTAATCAGGAGAACTAACACAGGTAATTTAGAAACACAAGTATGCAGAAAATCAATGCACACAGACCAAATACTCAACTAAATAGTGATAAATGAAATATTCCCATATTAAGTCATAAGAAAAAGTCGCAAACAGCAAAGAAAATTTTCTTTTCGACGATTCATTTTCGTGAGCTGCTGTACAATCGTAATTATATTAAACAAAGAAATCTTTAGACCAATCGGATACTGGTAAACTTTACCCTCGAAAAATGTATTATATATTGTAAGGCGAAAGAAGGGATGATCAATTGTAAGTTAGAAAAGAGGCAGAAATTGGCATGACGTGATAAGTGTGAGATAATGACCAATCAATAAGCTCGTGTAGAATGGACAGGGACTAGTGGAAAGGCGATAGAGTGTTTTTGTATAAAATCTGTATGAAAAAAACAATGTTATTAATAAACAGTAATAGAGTGGTAATAAAATGTCGGTGATGGGAATAATAACAACAATAATAGTAATAATAATAATAGTGAACTCACATATCAAAGAAAAGAAGCAAAATTATAGTAAGAACTTTACTCTGGCCATGATAGGGCAGCCAGGGAATGTATGTATCGTTTTTGAATGAAGACCTCCGGTTTCAGATCTCGAATAGCTAATGCTGTAGGGATGTACAGATGGCGCATATGAAGTCCCTTTGTACTATATTGAGGAACTCTGTATAGCACTGTATTACATTCATGCTGTGTGGGGTGCTCAATGTCCGAAGATGACAAGGTGTTCGAGGATCGAGCTGTTACTATTCTTATTTTCTCCTCTGGCTAATCAAGCTGGCCAGTGTTCCAGAATACGTTTTTGGACTTGACGTTGCGTACGGCCGATATACTTTGCTCCACACGAGCAAGTAAATTGATAAATACACATTGAAGTGGCCAAAAGCGGTGTCTCGCCCTTAGCGTTAAATTGGATAAATTTTCTGCAGGAGAATGTGATACGTAGGGTGGCTGTTGGAAATGTCTTCTTCAGACATTTAGAAAGGCGGTTTCTGAGAATTTCCGCTGCGATGTCACCTTTGAATTCTAGCTTCATGGAGAGTCTTTTTAGGAACTGTTGTAACACTGGAGGCTTCCGCTTCATGTTTTTGTCGATGAATCTTGGTGGATACCCGTTCTCTGGTAGGGTTTCCTTTTCTACCGTGTCTTCTGAGCAGATTTTTCTAATCCTTGAACATAATGTACGTACCAGGTTTCGCTTTCGGACCAGTGGAACAAAGCTCTGGAAGTTAATAAACTATCCAGTCCATGTTGGCTTGCGATATATTTTCTTCGGTGTTTGTGCCTTTTTCTTATGACATAATAGTAATAACCCAACCCAATTACTCACAAAAGAAACTATGTGTGCAGAAATTGTTTAAAAGAGTTCAAACACAACACTGTAGCACCACTCCAGTGTTGAAGAGAATGGAGAAAAAATGCCTGCTAACCATCTTCAGAAGGAATGGATATCCCCCCTCACAATTTCATCAAAAGTGTGTAAACTCGGGTCATAACCCCAAGAAGAAATCATCATCGAAGACCACAAGAAAATTCATTCTACCATATGTATAAAAGATATCTCTGAAGTAACAGATAGAATATTGAAACCGTTTAAAATAGATATAGCACATAAGCCAGTCCATTCACTTCATTCGATATTGTGCACACTGAAAGATCCAGCAGAAAATTGCATACATGAACTGCAGTGAACATTACATCGGCCAAAGTGGATGTCCCCTTTGAATCCGAATACAAGAACACGAATTGGCCGTATAAAAAGACATGATATATATATATATATATATATATATATATATATATATCATCTCTTTCATATCAATGCAT